CCCAGGATTGGGAGGTGAGGATGGAATATGCTAGTGAATCTTGGGTAGAGAGAAGATTGTTAGCTATAGATCCTAAATACCAATACTGCCTCCTAGGCAACAGGAAAAAAAGCGCTCACATTCTAAAGCTCTCGATTACTGTTAGCTTGCTCACTATGACACCCCTGAGCTCGAATGACTCCAACCCCATTAACTCGAAATCATCTATTAGGACAGCCACGGAGTGCCGGGGTGCACTAGCAGTGGAATCTTGCGAACGAGTAGTGTCTGGATCCGGACTTGTAGTAGAACCAGCACGGGTATCTGATAGTCTCTGGTCGCGAAGTTCTCGCAGCTCCCTCGACATAGCTTCGAGCCGTCTAGCCCCAAGAGTTAGTACCGAGACAAAAGCCAAGACACCGACGATACTTTGTGTCAGAAGGACGTAGAGACGCACTTTCGAGCGGGCGTCCTTCGAAAGGACGGATCTACCGTACAAGCAAGATTTCTCGCCTGGCATCTAGAACAAGGATTTGGAAAGCGATCCTTGGAGTCGCATCGAAGCTGTTTGATGGTTAGCCAAGTCATAGCAACTTGCGAGAATTGGCAAATGCACCTTTGACTGTTTGCACTCGGTGCAGGTCTTGACGGGGCGTACCCCGGGCCAACTTGGTGCACTCGACGCCATCGGGGGTGGTTTGGCGTTGACACTTGTGTACAGTACCTTGTTTGGTGTTGCAGGTTTCCGGATCGTCGAGGTTGAAGCTGGCGTTGCATAAGTTATGCCAAGTTGACTATAGTATATATAAACGTATAGGTTGTTACCTATTCGAAGTTGATTAATAGCGGTTGGACGATTGGCGGTTGATGGAGATATTAATAAGATACGCAGACGATTCGCCAAGTGAACCACACCAAATTTGATTCGCTGCACATCATCCCCAAGACGTCACGGCGCAATTCGTCCCATCCACCCTACCAGCATATAAAAGCACCTAACGAATTAGCTACCGCGACGACCCTGAAAATGCTACCTAGGTACATACCGGTAGGTAGGTACATACATTCAATGTCTCACCTGCCAAGGCATTGCAAGGAGAATCCACATAGCTTATACTATCCCGAGAATTAACCCGTGCATGGAACGTTGGACTATGCAGCAGCAGCAGCAGCAGGTTACGACGCGCTGGGGCGGAGTGGGCGGAGTAGTCTTAAATCCAGGGGAAGATTGCCTAAGCCCGGACACGGTTAACGCGGAAGAAGCCGAGAATCCCGGTTCTACCGACTACCGTTAGGGCCCGTACGAGGTCTCCGTATAGATCAGCCCTACGGATAAGACTTATATTGATCCTTTGTTAGCCAAAACTCTGGGGGGCTGTTCAGGTACCGAACCGACGTTTTCCCGGTCGTATATTCACCCTACCTGCTTCCGTGCTTTGCCGCATCCACGCATCTCCGGTGTCAAGGAACGTTGAATAGAGCGGTGGAAGTCATAGCGCTACCAGTCTATCAGTAGGCTATTGCAGCCCTAAAATGGGTGCCTGGTGCGCATCCTACGTTCCATCTGCTTGCGTTTCAAGTGATTTGGCGATAGGAAAAGGTACACAATCGACAAGAAAGGAATTGGGCGTTGAGACAAACGGGGTCTATGATGTTATGATGTTGTATGATGTTAGTGATATGCGGTGATTTCCCAGCAAACACTAACCCGACTTAACAGTGAGAAAATGCGCCAAGCCCTCATCGCCATCAAGGAACGCGATTAGGGGCTGATCTAATCTTACAGCCTGCATTTTGGACGGACTTATCTAGGTTACATAGTCACATTGAGTCCCTTCATTAGTCCCGCCACTTTATACCGCCATACACCATTACTAGGTAGAGAGGATCTATGAACACGAGCCATTCAGCATGCTCTGTTCTATCTGTGTCAATTTTGACGTCCGAAAGCTACTATTGGAGACTGAGGCCCAGCAACCAAAGTCATTCAACGATCCTTCTGCCCCAGACACACTAGAGTGTCTTCGCCCGCCGATCCCTTACTTTTTCGAACAACACCCCAATCTGCTCTCCTTACGGTCCTCGGCACACCAATGTCACCTTTGTCGCTGTATATGGTACTCTTACGCTAGAAATGCCCATCCAAGCGAGCTTACTGACGAGGCGCTGCGTGAAATTACGAATGCACGCCAGATATTCATCGGAACGTTAGCTTGGGATGTCACCTTAAATGGCTTGCCTCATGTCGCTGTCATCCAGGACGGAGGAAGAGGCGCGATACGCACCCTGGCATCTTTCGAAGTATGCGCATTGAGAGGTAAGAGATAATAATCTTAGTGTTTTAGAAACCAGTAAATGAAGACGTACACAGGTGATGAGCCACATGATCACCAAAATTTGCTCGCAAGATCTATACATAGCAATTCAGGGTCAGAGGAATGTCTTCGGCTAGCAGCAAGGTTGCTTAGAAGGTGCATCAATGAGCATAAGTCATGCTCTTCTCAATACCCTGTCTCCTCGGAACTCCCAACGAGAGTTATCGACACACACGGAGAAACTCCTAGACTCGTTGATGGTAACGGTGGACATGGTACATTTGCTGCGCTTTCGTACTGCTGGGGCGGTGACACCGACTTTACTCTCACACGGGCAACAGAACAGTTGTTTCGTAAGGGTCGGCCCCTTGACCAGTTTCCTGCAACGCTACGCGACGCTATCAATATCACCAAGGCACTTGGCATCCGCTACATATGGATCGATGCGCTTTGCATCATCCAGGATTCTAAGCAGGATTGGGAGCAAGAATCTAGCCGTATGCGAGAAGTCTACACTGGAGCAGCCGTCACGATAGCCGCAGCATGTTCACAGAAGACTAGCGAGGGCATCTTCCGGGAGCGACCCGCCACGACTCATCCTACCTGCTGGCTTGACTGGAGAGACGGAACCGAACCGACACCGAAAGTATTCCTGCGCCACGGGTTTGAGTTATGGGACGAAAGAATGCGTCAGAGTGTTCTTAACACTAGGGGCTGGGTCCTTCAGGAGACACTTCTGGCACCTCGAACATTATGGTTCGGTCATCAACAACTATGTTTCGAGTGTCCGAAGGGGAGCGTAGATGAAGCCGGAAGGACCATCAGGATAGTAGACCAATACCGTAGCAAAGAATTCATCCAGGAACTGCGCGAGCGGCCTTTGCCCAGTTGGAAAAAACGATTACTACCGCTCCTCCACGGGTTACGACTCCCATTGGCCATAGTAGTGCCGTGGCTTTCGCTATCGAATATCATCCATGCAAAGAACTTGTTTACTATTCGCCATAGAGCTATTGTCTGGGTACCGTTCACGTTACAGGGATGCTTCAAACCACCCGCAAATTCATTAGGGTTATCCCATTTCAACCTTTGGCTCAGGATAATCGAGAATTATTCTTCTAGGGAGCTTACCAAACCAGCAGATGCTCTTCCGGCGCTGTCTGGTCTCGCACGAGAGTTCCACAGGGCTACAGGTGATACTTACGTTGCTGGTCTTTGGAAGATGGATATAGTGCAAGGTCTCAGCTGGGTAAGTAGGCTCTTCGTTATATCCTTTTGCGGGCCGACCGTGTTCGTAGTTCCTACTCCTGTCAGACTGAAAGGCGACTTCACACGGGTCACAGTTTTCTAACAATCACAGTCAAGGTCCCCCCTCAGGAGAAAGCTTCCCAATGGTTATGTACAAGAGGAGCCGACCTTACCAGAGACGTACCTTGCTCCATCATGGAGTTGGGCTAGCATTCTTGGTCGCACTGTCATATGTACGGCAGATACCCAATTTGATTCCGTCAAGCGCTTTGCCGAAGTCATAGATATCAGCATCGAGCTCGCTACTCATGATCCTTTTGGTGCTGTGCAAGGGGGCAGCATAACCCTCCGTGCTCCCTTCCTGAAATTGGATACTCAGGACGTACTCACTCCTCCTCGTCCCTCTTCGCAACACGCAAAGCTGTTGTCGCGGATATACAAAGTAATCGACTGCCAAATCAGCAGCGAATATAGACAAAAGCACAGGGGCTACGCAGGGCAGCAGTTTGCGATCATGCAATTGATGCGGTGGCGGCGGGCCTTTAATGGCATAGAGCAAGTATGCTTCTTGTTGCTCGAGAGTGTTGAAGGTGGTGACAGCTGGAGACGGATTGAATGTCTCAAGCTTACTACTAGGGAAACGGGGGGAGCCAGCGCGAACATGATCGAGTCGCTGGCGATCTTGGCGGAGATTGGCCATGCTGTGAGGAAGCATATCGTGAAGATTATCTAATGGTGGCTTAATTGTTGAGTATTTTACAATCTACCAAAAAGAACGTACTCGCTCATTATCTCCCGTAGTCTACAGATTTATAATACAAATAATATGCGCTCTTGTCAAACTCATATGCGGTCCTCTATCCTACCCCTATTAGTAATCCGATTACGTTTACCCCTATCTGAAATTCACCGAAAATGCTGCTGTAATTTTAATAGTACACGGACCACCGCAGCTCGGACCTCTGTATCGAACTTAACAGCTATTTTTCAAGGACAGAACTCTAGCCACTCTTTGAATATCTGCAGCTTAACTAGGGTTAGGGTTAGGGTTCCTAAGGTAGCAATAAGACGACAGAATTACACCGATCTAGTGTACTATACGAGTTATATAGGAGGTAGGTACCTACCCTTAACGGAGCTATACGAGTGGTGGAAATCATCCCAATTGTTTAAACTGTCCTATGCACTTCTCTGTTTCCCTTTCTTCTCTTTCAGTTCCTTCTGTTTATTCTTTCTTGCCTTTTTCCTTTTTTTTATTACGCTTACGCGAGGATTCGAACTGAGGACCTTCACAGTTACGAGTTACACGATTTGACTACGTGCTTAGAAAATACCTTCCATCTACTTTTTCACTACAACATCGTCGTAAGATATATCATATTATAATAGGTACAAGGTAACATTAGGTACTAAAAGGATGATGAGACAAGGATATAACAGCCGATAAAAGAAATAATTCGGACTTGCAGGGAATCGAACCCCTGGACCTCTCACAAGTTGCTATGCAAAGCGAGTGTTCTACCACTGAACTACAAGCCCTACGAGTCATTCACATGGAATGTAGAGGATACAGGTGGTGTTTCCTTGAAAAGTAGGTATGTATTTACTACCTTACCTGGGAGGCATCGACAGAGCTTCTCCTTAACAGACTATACCTTCCATCTCGGTAGCAATCGTTATCGATAACTAATTAAAGCGCCACGGCGAGGCAAACTGAATGTAAAGTAAACACTGTTGCAGTATATATCAATCGACATTGTTGTCATGCTTTGAATAAAGACTTGATTTCCGTACAATTAGGGGTACGCATATATGTACCTAAGATATCATTCGACCTAGGCGCTATTTACTGCCTTGATCATCGTGATACCGATATACCGATACTACACCCAGAACTATGTTCCAAACCATTATAAAGCGGCCCCTGGGTGAAGTGGTTATATCGGTGGTGCCTCAAAGCCAGACTTTTATCAGACACAACTAGAACTTCGGCACAGAATGGCCCAATCAGTTCTCCTATAAATGGTGACTAGGCTTGTGGCGCTCTCCTACTTCTGTAAGAGAAAGCATTACGGACGGCAATGTTATCACCTCCACTCCGTGTTCCCTAGCAAGCTCACATCAGTATTCGACTGTCCTAATAGTGCGAATCAGCCACTTACACTGTTGGTGGCAAACGACGGCGAGTAATAGCGTGTGTAGAGAGCGCAGTATTGGCCTACCGGCTCCCCATTCCTGTAGATCAAGTAGGTCGAGAAGAAGCGGCATATCTGCGGTTGGCCCCTCGGAGGGGGATTTGCTAGGGCGTATCGAGTCTGCGAATCGCACGCCGCGGCGCACAGTTGGGGATTGAAGAAAGTGTCTGTGAAAATAAAAGAGCCGATATAGGTTCCGCCTCCTCTGCCGCCTCTGCCCCCGTTTGTGTCCTGCGGGGGTGCGTCGATCGTGTTGTTTCCGGTTGGCTCACCCTCGTAACCGGGTACTTCCGGGGGAGCCGTCTTCGTATACCCGTTCGATCCCGCGACGACGACATGAAAATCCACCAGAAATTGTCCATTGTTGTCGACGGCGGTCCCTGCTGTCAGATCGCCGCCCCAGAACACGCATTTGATGTTAGTGGTAGAAGGAGGATCTCGGCAGCCGCGGGCAGGGGCGACAACGGGATCTCGTTCAAAGAATATGTTGAAAGATTGACAGCCTTGGAAGACGTCGTTACATTGATCAGCGCATCCGGCAGTATCGTAGGAATCGACGATGACAAAACCCAGATATCCAAAAGCCTGGCTCCTGGAATTCAAATTGACAAACGTCTGATTATACCCAGTTGGTGTTGGTGCCGCAGTGGCAGCGGTCGCGAACGCAGAATTGGAAACAAAGGCACTGTCGGAGTCAGGGGTTACACTGGGTCCGGCCCCGGTGGGATTAGGTTGGCATGCCGTCTGTCGCGCCTCGATATTTCCACGCGTGGTAGGTTCCGTTATCACGGGAAGAGGGCTCTCTGTAGCTGACTCCGTGATCTGACTCAAGTCGTAGCTTGTTGAATCCACAGTAGGTCCAATGGGTATCGAAACGGAGGTTGGGCTCGGTGCGGTATCGACTAGTGAAGTATCAATGCCCTGCCGGGGTATGACTACACCCGCTATAGCCAGAGCCGCCAGTGGTTGGATGAATGCCACACTCGATTTCATATTGATTAGATGTCCGGGACCTGAACTGAATATTAAACCCAAACCAGAAAGTGGACTGAAGGTGGAGTAGAATGTCAAGAGGATGACCCGCTGGAGATCCATCAGGTATATAACATCGTAGAGAGCTCGGCTGATCCAATGAGTTATTTCATGATGACCTTCCTCTCATCCAACGCATCCTTGGCACCATCAATTCATCTCCCATCACTTTTACCAAAGATTGACTTCATGTGTTCCTTGGCGGGCAGGCCGCGAGTCATTCTCCCGCTCACATCAACGCACTAACCCTACAATAGGACTAGATAATGGACTATTCAACAATGTGTAGGAGAAACCGTGCTCTAGTCTATGATTTATTTTTTTAACGCCCGGTGTGTAAATGCGCCTGTAGTTCGGATAGACTATCTTGATTTGTGGCCAAGGAAACAATTGTTTCATCGGCATGACATTGCGCCCTCTCTTGTATATCTACGTCGGCGTCATCGTGATATGAACCCCTGTTCTTGTTATGTTCACATGGCCTGATCAAACAGGCACTGTACGTGTCTTCATAAACTTCAGAACCTACATGCCATATCTAGCGGTTCCACAATATAGCTTTGTGTGAGTCTCTAGAAGACAATAGCCAAGACATTAGTGAAAATTCAGTTGAGAGAGGGGTTTGAAATCAGGGAAGTTGATTGATGCTACCTTCATGATGATATATAGCCTGTGGTGTTTTGGTTTACTATCATCGAACCGACGGTTAGAAAAATCAAGGAAATTCCACCGATCCCAGCAGCAACAAAGAAAATACCGCCAGTTGCCGCAAAATAACTCTGTAGACCCCCAAGGACAAGGGGCCCCAGCACACTACCTAACATTTCCATCATCGATAAAGCAGCTAATGCTGTTGGTTTTTCCTTGCCTTGGAAGAAACCAACGAAGTATGCCTTGATGAATGAGGGCACGGGAAGCCCTATGGCAAGGAGAACCGTAATTAAGTAGACCTGTCCTGGTTGGTTGGCAAATCCAAGAGCCACTATTGACAAGCTCTGGATGGCAAGTGAAGTCACAGCTAAGAGGATATCCCTGTTTTGAGCCCCTGAACGAGTCCGTGACGGCTGCAAGAGTCCCCTACCCCCGAGAAACTGCATCATCCATGGAATCAGAAATAGACTCATGAATATGTAGAGCGCTGCCACGGAGTGGGCAATTGAGATGATGAAGCCATTCTCTTTTCCTGTAAATCCAAATCGTGTTGAGGTGTAGATTAACAATGCGTTGAAGACGTATGACTGGATAATATTGTAGCAGAAGAGACTGAGGCCGATGCAGATATGAGCAGGCCGCCCTCGAAAAGGTACAAGAGGAGAGAAGATTGTGTTCGACCACGCTCTAAGCCTCCCGAGAAACCCGTGATCGGCCTGTCTTTCATTTCTGTTTATTTCATCCTCTTCGTGGGTTTGTTTGCCGCTGGCGGTATAGCCTACCAGACCGATTTGTATGTAGGCCAAGATGAAGACGAAAAGGCCAATAGCAATGAAAAAACTGATGGTAAATTTTCCAAACAGTCCCGCTATAAAGGGGCTGACGGAGATGCCAATCATATAGAGCGCAAGGGAATAGCTGATGAGAGAAGATGTCTTGTCCTTTGACTCTGATTGTGCGTATATCGCATTGAGAATGAAGTGAAGAAGATTGTCCGAGGCTAGTCCTTCGAAGACCCGACTAGAAAGGGCAGTGTAGATGTTGTTTACGGAAACTGGAATATCTTGTTAGAATTCGCGTTCTAGATTCGGTGGAATGGGTGCACATGCCACCGACAAGCAGCATCACAGCGCTCATAGAACGGCAGAGCATCCAGAGCAGAAGCCCTAGTTTGCGGTGTGTGACTGCTTTCTTCTGGAGGTATCCGAGTGTAGACGTTCCTAGAATATTGGATACGCATGTGGCGCCGGCGACAAATCCGGCATACCTACTAGTTTCTCCATCTTCGCAATGATTGGGATCCTTGCAGAGAAGTGTCGCGTAGGCGAAGTAGGCTGTTGCTGCTGTTGAAGCCATAGCAAGAGCTGATAGAAGCGCAATTGGTAGGGCAAACTCGGGAACGAAGCCTGGCGCCTTCACCACCGAAGCGTTGCTATGGATGGAGGCATTGCTTCGTTCATCATCATCGAGAAGGACCGCTGTCTCCTCGTATAAGACTGGATCGCGATTATCCCGCATCCCGCATAGGTAGCTCACGGCACGGAACTGATGAACGTCGTTCTGGTTTTGCGTTTCTCAATTGCATGGAACAGAAACGTTGGATCAACGATGGATCGTACTGCAAAGCCAAAGGATTGGGTGTGGTGTGGGCTTATTGACCCCTTTCGGGGATCCACCCCGTAAGCACCCCCCCGTTCCAGATCGGAAGCCGAGCACAGGCAGAGGACGAGCCCCTGGCAAGGTACATGGTAAGTAGTACTTTCATGAGATAAAATTCACCCTCAGCTCCCATAATGCGCAACATCAACTTTTGGCTATGATTACATCGATTCTGGGTCTGATTAGGAGACATGGAGTCCATTTTACTAGATCTTATTGACTCGCTCAAATCAGCATCACTGAAGCTGAACGGAAATGCTAAAAACTCACTACAAACTGCACTCCACGATACGGAGAAACTTCCCGATAGGAAACTTTCGTCGTTGGCATCAGAAACTCTAGATTTACTCTCAGAGATACGACTGCTGTTAGAGCCCGGCCATCTTATTCTTGCCGATCATTTTCTAGGTGCGACGTTCTGATTTTTAACCGTGAATTCCTCATCTGACAAGCGCACAGGATACATGAACACCAAGGCGTTATGTACGGCAGTCGAGATGGGCATCCCCGATATCCTTCATTCTGGGCCGAAGACACTTCCGGAATTGGCAAGGGAATGTGATGCGAGACCTGACCGTCTTCGGCAGGTTATGCGTGCACTCCACAACAACTCCATCTTCTCTTACGACGCCGGCACTGATACCTACGAGAACAACCACACATCCACTCTCATAATGTCCGACCATTGGACGCAGTGGCGAAACTGGGTGGAGCTTTACGGAAATGAATTTTACGATATGGCTCGTGGTATTCCACCTTCTTGTAAAAAGGACGCCACACGCTCTCCGGCACAGATCAATTTCAACACGAATGACAGTATGTTCAAGTACTTCTCTGACAAGGGTTGGGTACCGAAGTTCCACAAGACTTTGAGCGGCGGCGCCATAGCACAAGCTCCCGGTATCCTACAAGACTATCCTTGGGAAGAAGTGGCGGCATGCACTGTGGTCGACGTTGGTGGAGGAGGCGGAGGTCTCATTGCTCTGCTTCTTCGAGAGTACA